ACATTTCTCACTTGGTCTAGTACCACAAGGGTTGCACATGTACATTTCTCACTTGGTCTAGTACCACAAGGGTTGCACAACAACATTTCTCACTTGGTCCATTACCACAAGGGTTGCATATGCACATTCCTCTCTTGGTCCAGTACTTTTGTCCAGGTAATTTTGCTGTCTGGAATAAAATTTAATTCTTTCATCATCCTCAATGAAGACGAAAATCTCTTTTTAAATTGTACCTCAAATYGCTTCAAATTTTGCCCATGTAAATGGACTTTTATATTTAGCCAAATAAATGAAAAACTTAAGAAAATACAAAAACCACAGTAATCGTTTCATTGTTTTATCAACTTTTTCAGTTCTTCATTTTCATCTGTTACAATTTTTTTTTATATCTCTTATGATAGAAAACATATTTACATTTCAAACATCGCTATATACTTTTAGTTTTATGTTTCTTCTCTTCCAGTAGGTTTCTTCTTAAGACCGTCTTTGGAGCATTTTTCATATTAAAACTCATTTTCCTTATTTCCGAGGAAAAGCCTTGATTGTCTATTTACATGTTAATAAAACTTTAAATTACTCTAAGAATTCATTTTTACTTTATACACACATTAAACCTCATGTTTATGTATATAGGCACTATATATATGTGTGTGTGTGTGTGTGTGTGTGATCAAGTCTGTAAAGGAAGGGGCGGGCCACTATGCAGGTCACTGTCTGTTTCCCAAGAAGGTTCATGGACCATGGGCCGAGGAGGAGCAAAGATATTTGGAAACCTGAAAGTAGTAAAGAAGATCAGTTAATCTCAAAGTCTCATGTCACAAAAACTTGAAAGGATACACTAAGACCTATTTTCAATAGTCCCCTTCACAGTTCCCTGTCCATGTAACCATACCTGTGCATGGAATTGAAAACAGCCGTGACCAATCAGTCCAAGGTGTAAAAAGAGGTCTTATACGTAATTGCAAGGTCAATGTGGTTCTTGCTTCCATGCACAGGCACAGTTACCTTTCAAGATGGTGCAGGGAACCGTGAAGGGGACTACTAAGGTGAGAGCCCTGTTATTCACCATTGCCACTGACTATGTTTTCTGTTATTCACCATTGCCACTGACTATGTTTTCTGTAAAGTTGTGTTTTCACGAAGTTTTACTATCGTAACATTTATGTGTCAAACTGCAAAAAACTAAGCTAACCGATACAGCAAAACACAATGTGGTCAACTTCAAACTGGGAAATATGAAACTAACCTTGACATCGATATGTCAGGTGCTTGACCTCTTTGCTTCAGTAGGGTTGAATTAGGAGCACGTGCTTGCACCATAGCAGCTAATGTCTTAGTATTTCTGCTAAATGTTGTAGCTTGACTTGGCTCGACAGGACCAGCCAGTCGTATCAGCGGACTGACACCTGCTTCCACTAAGTAGCCACTTCCAGGCTGATTCGAATGAAAGGAGCCTTGAAGAGTAGCCAGCGTTGGAATGGTTGAGAGAGAGTTTGACGATGGTGCTTCTAGATGGTATTGTCTTTTATGAAGCCTTCTGGCATCTTTGTTAGCTTTCCAGTTCATCAGAAAACTTCTTGCTGTTTCATTAATTTCTTTGCCATCTAACATCACTGTTGATTGAAGATTAATAATAGCTGGTTAACATCAGAGGTACAACATAGTACATCAATACTCAGACTCAGAGGCCAACAAAATATGGATCATGAAACTTCTAAGTTCACCCTTCAAATAATGCAACTTCTCCTGAAGGTGAATATTATTCCTGGAATAAGACAGGTGCAAAAAGGGGAGATACTTTATTGTGTTCTTCTCTCCCTAAATCACTTTATCCATGGGATAAGGATTTATCCATTGGATAGCGCTATCCACCCTTCATCCGTACAACTGGGCCCAGAGTTTCTCAAGGTAATATAGTTTTCCCTCCAAAATCAACATGTGCATGATTCGATAGTGGATGAAACTCAACATCCAGAATGTTCCAATATCATTTCAATGGCACATTAATAAATAAATAAATTTGAAATATTTCAATTGCTATGTTCGAAACACGACTTTACCTAGTGATCGTGACATGATAATCACTCTATCTCTGTACTTCTTCTTGCAGCAGAAGGGATTTCCGGTGGTTTCTAGTCTCCATAATGATGTCCAGGAAGCCAATACCCTTGATAGTTCCTTCATGTCTGTGAGATAGTTGTTTTCCACAATAAACTGGGTCATATTTGTTAAGCACTTTAGTTCCTCTATAGCGTCAATGTTGTTTTCAGAAATGTTGAGAACAGAAAGGCATTTCTAGAAAATCAATTAATAATAATAATTAATTGTATATAAATCTATTTTTTCTAGATAATTTTTCACAAGAATTGAAATGGTCAAAAATTTTATAATTTCTATTCTAGCATCCCAGTAATGGTTTCAAATGAAACTGGAATTTCAATAGTTTAATATTGTTATATGGGATATGATTGCAGCTATTAAAAGTAATTGCAGGTGAGGCAATTTCAGGTAATAATAATAATAATAATAATGAAATAATGATAATGATTTAAAAGCGCCCTTTGTACTGTATATGGATATAATCAATAATAATAATGATAATAATGAATTTAATATAGTGCTGTCCTAAATGCTTTACAATCAATCAAAATCATAGGTAAGAGTCTTTGTCCATTTTAATTTTTGCCCAAAATTATCTCACTTATGGTAACACATGATATTTTCAATAGTGCAATCTTCATGTCTAAGAATCAATCAAACTATTGGATTACCTAAAAAATATTGCAATAAAAGACCACTGATGTTACTTACAGCTAAACTCTGCAGCGACCGTGGTTCAAACAGCAGTTTTTCACCAGGAGGAAGCCTTTGTTTCTCAATATGAAGTTCTTTTAAATTTTCCAGTTTTTCGAGTCCTTCCACAACTGTTATACAATTACTACCAAGATATCTGGGAGAAAAAAACAATACTTTTTAATCCTGGTTTAACCATGCAATAGTGGTAAACAAAATCGAAAAAACACTGAAATCAGGGCTTAAATTATGGCTTTTCAATGGCCAGACATGATGACTGCCATGCTGGACTGAGCAAAATGCAACCAGTGAACGTACATGACTTGTTAAGAGAACCACACTATAAGGCATTTGTCTGGACAATGGCCTATTTTGACCAAATACTCATATTTATCARCCAATATTATTTGCATATTTTAAAATTTGGCTATTTCTGTGTTTATTCAACCTGCTTCTCCATTTTTGGATAACAGACTGATGAACCCACTCTCAAGTTTGAATCATTACAATAAATTCATTAGTGATGTTACAATATTTCTAAGTTAAGCTTCATCCATGACTTACAGTTTTGATAACTTTTTGCAGTGGTCAAGCCCTTCGATTCTTGAAAGTTTGTTATTTTGCAGATACAGATGAGTCAGATTAGCAGCAAAACTAAGATTCCTTATTCTTGAAATACTGTTGTCATACAGGTAAAGAACTGAAAGGTTTTTGCAGGAAGATAAGTTATCCTATAAGAAATACAAAATGAAGTTTAATGTTTATATCATTTTTATTAATCATTGACTCTGATAACTAACTATAATAAGTAAAGATGTCTGGTCTTTTGGTTTTTGTTAATCAAATCTTAAGGCTCAGGTCAAACTTGGAACTGCACATGAGCTAAACCTAATTGAAACAATGGATAACGAGGTGGTCTTTTTTGATGTCATTAAGTTGGGCTCATGTGAACTTACACAGTCAGATTCAGTATTTTCGATTGCCAGATGTCAAAAACCCATTCAATGGTATTCTTATTTATGTCATTTTATAATTCCAAGGTACTGTATATCTCAACTTGGGACATAGAATTTATTCTCAATTTCTTTCGATTCTTTAAACACGAGACCATTCTTTTACTATATGGATTTTATCAAGGCACAAAAAAGATTTTGCGATCTCTTTATCCTGAGTATCAATCATGATCTTGACAAATTTGAAATGGAATTCTAAAATTAAAACTCCAAGTTCAAATGACAAAAATTGATCAAACGCTTTCTACAGCAATCAAAAACCTTACTATAACAAATTTGCCACAGCTATTACCAAAATATAAAGGAATTATAACATCAGATACATGATTTAAGAAGTCTAAGATCAAGTACCAAACTAAACGTCCGAATATTCAAACAAACAGACCCAATACTCACAATCTCATCAATGCCTTTCTCTGCGAAGTACAAGTGAGTCAACCTTTTTAAATAATGATTTAAAGTCTCTCCACGTTTCTTTTTGGTGTGACTGGGACATTTTGCTAGCATCTCCAGCGTTATTTTGCCCATTTTTAGGAGAATATATATTCTTAAACCTCGAAATGTAAGAATTTCAGCTTGTTTGACTCAGTAATCAAGATGGCTGGCTTTTTTATACTAAAAGGTCACGTGACAGCAACAAATAATTGAAACTATAGCAACGGCATAAATTCGTTACCAATCTTCCTCATTAGAGTAATTTTCAAGAAAATGAAAAAAATAGAAAAAAGAAATATTGGTACAAAAATTATTAACATTATTTGCAAAAAAACGTATTATATTCTTTGAATTTAATGCAGATTGAAACTCTAAAGAAAAAAACGGTTTGCGAAATTGTATATTGTCTTAGAATTTTGAAATTTAAATTATTTTTTGAGTTTTTTTTCTTTTTATTGATATACTTTATTCTTACTGAGAAAACGAGTGTTTATCTCTGTTTGTGTTTGGATTTAACGTTGTTGTTTTTTGYTGATTTTTCGTTAATTTTTTGTTTTTTGTTTTTGTTGTTGTGACCGCGAGGAACTGCGTTCTAAACCAAGCAAAACAAAATGGCGGCAGATATAGGAAGGATGTCCTATCGGAATACCAAAATAGTAAGTACTCAATATTCAAGTTTATAAGTTATCCTACTTACAGAACCACTAATATTACTCCTCATTCGACTTGACCTAACGGCAGCTCCTGCTTTTTTGAGTTCAATTATATGGAGTTTGATTCAGTCCGATTTGAGTCACCAACCGAAGCTGTGACAAATTGTTTTGAGTTTTAATAGTAAACGTATTCAGCACTAGAGTACGCAACAAAAAGGAATTAAAAATAGGTATTGAAGTGTAAACTGTCCAAGTCAATCTTAGCAGAATAAAATTTTTGAACAAGTTTGAACAAACTCCAAATTCCATGGCCAGTTCTTCAGTCTTTAAGCTTAAGCTTATTTTTCACCCRAACTGTTCTTTTCTGAATTACGATTCAATAATTATCGTGGATATCTTAATACTATCTTAAATGCTAGCTATTTTGGTTATTATTAGAAACAGTTGACAACAGAGAACCAGTGGACGTTTAAAAATTATCGAACGTTTAACTTAATCAACTACTGTAACCTTGCTAAAATAAGCTTTACACTATTTCATTTGGATATCGAAATTTAGAGGTCGTAAAAAATTGAAACTTCATTTATTATTATTATTTTTTCCTTCAGGTCGTAATCCCCTGAGATGGTATAAATTACCCGTGGAAGGAAGTACAYATTTTGCTCAGATCTGGCTTGGATTTACATGTCTATATTCTGTACCAATTGCGGTTTTTATCAAACGAGATAGCAAGATTTACTTGAGTACTTTATCATTTTGAACGATCTCCAGCGGAGTCCTGACCATTGATGCATTTACTTCAAACATGTCCGGTGATCTACAAGCAACACTCGAAATTTCTGTTGAATTTTCAACATTTCACAATGTAGACCTGTTTCAAAGAGGGTAAGTTAGACTAGGCTGTCCTTTTTGGTGTTTCGACCTCTGCTAAGTATTTATAATTGTGGCAGGTTTAATTTTCCTTGACTGTGATGATCAAGAAAATTAAGATCATATTTTAAGTTTGTACAGTTCTTCCTATATATTGAGAGCTTATTTTGTCTGACTATCTAATTGAAATCGTACTATAATTCTACTATTTGTCAAATTTTACTCTTCTGGTAATAAAGTTTTTTTGAATTAGGAATATTGCCATTAACCCCTTATGATCTCTGACATAAACAACTATTGCATGTGCTAGAATTTTCGTTTTCTTTTTCTTCCCTCTTATTTTGTATTCTTCTTTCATCTTTTGTTTTAATTATTAAAAAATAGATAATGTGATAATTTGAAAATTAAAACCATTTTTTGYATCTTTATTTCAAGGTATTATCAAATCAGATGCTCCCTAAAGCCTCCCGAGAAATCAGTTAGCTGTGTTGATGTTGAGTACAGAATAACCAATGGAGGTATGTACAGGTGTTTCTCATCTGTAGAAACTGATTGCCAGCCATTCTATTTAAACTTGAAACACTCCGAGTTTCTGTTGAGTAATTATCAAGTCACTGTAAAAAAGGTCTTTTATTTGAATCCCTATGTGAAACCCATTGTAACAAATTTCATTCCAATCTGATCTGCAATAGTTTGAAAAGGGTTTGGCCAGATTTTAATTTCATTTTCAATTGTTGAAGTTCAGAAAGTGAAAGAATAACATCTTTGAATATAACTTATATACTGTAGACATTTAGCAAGAAGTATGTTGTACAGTGTAAACAAAGAAAAGTATGCTTTCTAAACTTACTGTACATCACTTGCAACTGTTTTACTTTGTTTTAATGTTAAATAAAACATAGAGTAATAGCAATAATTAATACATTCATAATATTAAGTTACAGTTATTTGYAACTGTCTATTTAAATCGTAATTGGTTTCAGAGTAGGCTGATCTGTTTGCTGRGAGCCAATCTTTCGACACTCCTAGTTTGATTAAAAGTGTCCGTTTTATGTATACTGAGCAATGATATAATACCATTAGGATAAAAACWATAATGTGCAAGTAGCAGGGATGTAAGAGCATAATTTTTCTTTGGGGGGGGGATAAAAATGAAAGTAAGATTTTATTGAATAAATAGAAAGTGCAYGCCTGCTGGTACGTAACTAGCCATGGTTCTCTTATATTTGAATACAAGAATTTAGTTTTATAATTGTCAGATTTTAGTATTCTTACAGAAGGTAAATTTGAAAAATTGTTTCTCGAAAATTTTTCTTTGTAATTTTTCTTTGAAAAATGTTTTCTAAAAAAATGGTCCTTATTTGTCCTTTTTGATTTTTTTTTGATAGTGGTATGTTGTTACAGATCAAAACAGACTTGATAATCAATCATGGTTACTCAATTAGACATAGATCATGGTTAAACACTTTCTTATTGGTTGAGATAGATTAAGGTGATTGCTTGATCATGCATGAACTCTCTCAACTGATACTCTATTAGCCAATCAGTATGCAGGAAAGCCAT